GTGTTTTATGCATTTAAAGTATATGAAATTCCAAAGAATACATTCCACTGTTGATTTTTTCTTTATGAAAGATGTATGGAAAAAATATTGCATGTAGAATCACTGTATATTTACATATTTACTATAACTGCTAGGATGTAGTATTTAATAATAAAAAAGAAAAGAAAAAGAATTATATGTATTGGAGCTTCACGATAAGTCAAATAGTTTTTGTTTTTTTCTCAAAGAATTTCTTCAGATGTTTCCAGGCTTTTCCACAATTAGAATATAAGCTTGTAAACACCAACTTGTCATAACAATGGCGATCATCTCTTGTTTACAATGCTAGTAAAAGAGGTATAACTTTTCAGACCCCAGGGTCACAAACTAAAGCCGTATGAAAACAATTTTTCTTTAATTTGATCTCAAGGCTTAATTCTCGGAAATAAATAAATAAGAGGCTGTTTTTTCCTTGAGAGCTTTGAGAATGGCCACATTAAATAGTACCTGCTTATCTGACAGTTTCTAAACCAGGAAATGGAGTTACTCTTACGACTTACTGTGTCACTTGACAGATGATTGTATTTTTTGTTTTAACTAATTTACATTACTTATTGGTTATGTCTAATTCTATTATTATTGTTTAAGAGGTTAACAATATAATGAAATACAATCTGTAAATACAGTTTTGAGTTTACATCTCTATACGTATGCATTTATCAGACTGAATGTGGCTTTAGTTCCTATTAAATCCAAAATACTTTGTGTAAGAAGTTTTATTGTTTGACTGATTACCATATATTGTGCTTCATTGGCATGTTGCTAAGATATGTATTTCTGAATACATATAAATTTTCGTATTCAGAATACTAATTACATATTTTATTTTGAGAGTAGATATAGGATAATGGGATTAAGAAATTTAAGTTTTAAGTAAACCAGAACAGCTAAAAGGGAATGTTATCAAACTGTAATTGCATTATAGATAATGCTGAAATGTCCATAGGGATTTATATAACTCAACTTTAAGGCTAGTTATGTTTTAGCATTGGTTTTTCTCTTCTAGCATTCTGTAGATTTGATAACATTATTACTTATTTCTTTTTTGCTTTTCTTTTTTCATGTCAATGTGTTTGGTCCAAAATGGATTATGCAGTCAATTTATTGAATGAGGGAAGTTATTACTTTTAAATATTTATTCCAGATTGTTCTACTCATGGGAGAGCTTTTAATTTTTGGCTAGGCCATGACAGAAATAATACAGAATATGAACCTCTGATGGAAGGGTATCTATAGTGTATGTACTGTGTCCTGTAAGTGTGTGATTCCTTAATGAGAAGGTTACCCATTCTTTTTTTTGTAGAATGTCTCTGTTCAAATTATGGGATATCTTTAATATTATTGAGTATATCACATCAAAGATTACTTTATGAAATAAATACCAGCTTTCTGCATTTGTAATAAATCAATGCCAGCTTTAGCTCATCATGCATGGGATCTAATTATCATGTTCTCAGGGTAAAATGTAGTGTTGCATACCAAGGAATACCCTGTATGGTTGTAGTAAGCTAATGGATTCTGCAGAGAGGGATGCAAGGTATGTGAAGTGCATCTGATTAGAGGTATTTTAAGAGTTAGCATGAGTGTGTTAGGATGTGGGTGCAGGGACACTATTAATATAGTAAATTGGTATGCAGATGGTTCACAACTGTTACGCCAGCCAAAAAGAAAATAACTTTTATATACATATCAGATTTCAATATTATCAATGATCTATTTTGCCAGTGCTTTATTAATTGTAGTATCTTCAGTCTCCATCCTCTCCCAGAGCAGGTAAACACACCCAGATATAAAGCTACCTAGCTTATGATGACCCTGCTCCAAACAGCAGAATCTTAACTCATCTTCAGCTTCAAATAACTCGTCCCCTTCTAAGATTAAAGCAAACAGACTTGATTCGGCGTAGATATACTCTGCTTTTGGTCCTTTCAGTTAAGTACATTTAATCAAAAGAGATATATTAGGCTGCTCTCAGAATAGGGGTTCTTAATAAGAGTCACTTTATCATTCTTCATTTACATTAAAGTTTTATCCTGCATTTATATTTTATTCTAAACATATGCAACCTCATTCCCACATTATGTGGATACCAGCATGCCTAAGTACACTAATATGGTTAGTAAAAAATACACTTCTTTTACTTGTAACTGAAAAATTGAAAATGTGAGTTACTGGTACTTATTCCATATTAAGTTATGCTGAAATACTGTTGTGTATTAAGTGCCTACACATGTATGTTACCATAATTTTTCTATGTTTGCTTGCAAGCATATATTAGGAATCTTAACCATGTTATGTGCCATTCCAGTAGCATGAGGTAACTCCCAAGGGAAATCCTTCCATGAACAATTTAATAGGTTATAAGATGTGATTACATAGGATGTTTTTTGATTTTCAGTCATAGGAGTGTAAAAAAAATGTACAAGATCTGTATATTGGTTCAAATAGACATATATTTTTG